CTATCCTTATACATAAATATATTTACATATGTACATGCCTGTATTTAGACCTCTATAAATGCCCTTTGCCTCCTAGTTCTTTCCTCTATCTCCATTTACTTTCCTCTTGTCTCTCCACCATGTTTGGCCTTCATTTGGGTTTCAGTAATTCCTCTCAGTTACATTGCCCTTGATCAAGCTCTACCAGGCATCCTACTCCTTCTTCACCATCAATTTTAGATCACTTGTTGTTCCCTTGTCCCTGGGTTTGTTAATACCCACTTCCTTTCCCCTGCATGCCCCTCTCCTGTGTCCCCCCAGAACTGTCATTCCTGTTGTTTTCTCCTCTGGGTTGTTTATCCTGCCTATCTTATCTAGATAGACATGCAGAGACAATAGTAAGCACAAAAACAAGGCAGAGCTAAACAAAACAAAAACCAATTTATTTATAATAGTTTGTGTGTATGCCATATCTTACACAATCCAATATATTCATTCACATGCAATTCTGTTGTTCAATCCCATCAAGTGGGGTTATACAGTCATCTGTATAACATGGTAACAACTGTCTCCTCCTCCCCCCTTTCTCTTCCCGTACCCTCAGGGAATCATTACTCCTATTACTGTTTCTGAAGGGTTATCTATCTTCACTTTCATGTACTGAATGTTAAATTAAGTATACAAACGAATCTACACAAATCTAACATGATTAATGAGATAAAACAAAAACCATAATAGTAAGGGGAGGAAATATTAAAAAGGATAATTATATGGTTCACCAGTGCCATGCTCTGGAAGTCTGTGTCTTCCACATACTAACATCCACAATGTCCACATATGGTCATAAGTCTAACAGTTTCAAACCTTAATGGTGTAGAAATACCTGAAAGATAGAGGAGAAAAAGAGAAGATAGAAGGAACTCAAAGTATGGTCATTATATCACTTTTATAATCGAAGGTCAAAAGAATTATATTGTTTACAGCTGATTAAGCAGTGATGAAGGCAGTAAGTATGTTTGAAACAAAAAAGTTAACACCATGAAAGATGAAATAAAATGGGAATTGAGTTGCAGAGAAGAGAAAGGTGAAAAAGGAACAGAAAGTATATAATAGTTTAATCATCACTCAAAGGAAAGAACTATTACTGTCAAAGAAGCAAAAGATTGGGGGATGCAATAAAAATGATTGTAAAGTTAATCACTAAGAAAAATTCAAACATTTCAAATTATTAATAGATGGTGGGGTGGCAGGGGAAGCAAACAGACCACACATGTTGAAAGAGTTTTAGAAGCTGTTGAAAAGAGAAAATATAATATTGTAGATAATGGGGCAGAAGTATGACCAAATAAATCTGTCATAGAAAGAAATGGACATAAGATTTCTTAGGAAATGAACTGTCAAATTGAATCACAAAGTACAACCCAACTCTTTCCTATATAAAAGATACAACTAAAAGCAACCCAAAAATGTTTTAAAAAATTGTACTAGTTATTTAATGAATTACTTTGCTCTTCTTTATCTGGCTTTGTGATACTGGCGCTGGACTCTACAGGTTTGTTTTTCAAATGTTGCAGTGTTACACTTTGTCAGCAGAGTCCACTCTGGCAGTATGGCAAGAGTCAGTTGTTCCAGTGGGACTTATTCCAGCTCTGTTGGCATGAGACTGCCCGTGAGGTGCTCAATCTCTAGTGAATTTTGCAGGCACTTCAGCAGGACATTATAGGAAGAAATCCAAATGGGAGCCTCTGGGACTTTCCCCTCTATACCAAGAAAAGACATCTGACGAAACACTGCATCTTTGAAGAAACCACATATTGTCATCTTGAAGGACTTGAGAGTTTTAGGAGTGAAGACTCCTAATTCCATTTAACCCTTTTTGGCCTGTGCGAAGTCAGATGACTCTCTCTCTCTCTCTTTTTTTAAGTAAGATCACTGGGTAAACTAACTACTGACCTGGTTAATGTCCTTTGGAAATGGAGGAAGATAATGTTTTGTACTTCTATAGAGTTACAGTCTCGGAAACTCACAGGGGCAGTTCTACCCTGTCCTATAGAGTCACTATGAGTCTGCGTCGGCTCAATAGCAGTGAGTTAAA